TGCCCCCACTCCAGTCGCCACTACTGCTCCCCTTCCCCACCCTCCGCCCTAATCGCCTACCCTAGCCGCCGCGCAACCACTAATAAACCCTAACCGCGCGTCGGATCTAAGTCGCATCACAAAATCAGAAAAAATAAAAAGAAAAATCGAGGTAGACGGCGGCGGTGGCGTACGATGGAGGAAGGAGGCAGCGTACGACAGGGGATGGAGACGGCGTACGCTGGGCGGCGTCCGGTGGGTGGCGATGCTGAAACACTGGAATGGACCGAAGTCTTCACGCGGAAAATTAGGAATAAGAGAACGGAGATGCAGGGCGTCGGCCAAATACTGTTTTCTAATTTTTGAAAGGTTATTTTGGGCTTTTAATTTGATTTAAGTCTCTTTTTTGTCAAAAGAGAGGCGCGATCCCTTTTTTGTCCACCCGAAACTTGGAGGTGGTATATCTGCCATTCTTTCTACCATAAACATGTCAATTTTAAATTTACACTAAGGAGTTGTTTGGCAATCCGCAGTTGGCGGTTAGCTGTTGGCTGATTGACAGTGACAGATTTTGTTAGCTGTTTTGATTTATGATTGTATTATCAGTTTGTAAAATGATGTTTAGTTAGATGTTGTCTGCAATCAGCTGATAACTTATTAAATGACTGGACTTCAATAATTTTTTTGTTAATATAATTATAATCAAACAAATTCAAAGATTTAAAAATATAAAATTTATTAACCCAACTAATAATTACTCAATATTTTAAATATTGATTTTCATGAAATAAAATTTGAATCAGTATGCTATATTTTTATTTTCTTTGACCATGTATTTTGACTAATAGCTACAATTATCTAAAAACCTTATAACTATGAATCGTGGTTGGTAACCCTATATTATGTCAATCTCTTGTGTGCATTTGAATTTGTACTCTTTTATAAAAGTAATGTACTTAATTTTTCAAAGGCCATATAAATACCCTGACTTGCTGCTTCCGTTAAGTAATGACTTTGACAGATTTTCCAACCTCGGTTTCATAGACTATAAGGCTACTTATTAGTGTATTACGATTCTTATTCATATTTCAATAATGAGGTTATGAGGCTTTATAACTCATTACGTATTACGATTCTTATCCATATTTCAATAATGAGGTTATGAGGCTTTATAACTTATTATTTCTAGTTAAGATTGCTGAGTTCCTAGGGCTACGCCGCTGGGGGATTTTCCGGATTCGGTTGATTTCGATCGAAGTTCAGCTGAGTTTTCGGTTGTTTTCTTGTTTGATTTTTCAAACAACGTCTTCATCAGGCAATTGTCCCAAAGTCGCCGAAGTTCGATTTTATTTCTTGCTGTTTCGACTTTTCGGCTGGTGAGGAGAGACGGAAAGGGGGTGACCCAAAAGCTTGTAGATGGAAGAAATTGTTCACAACTATAGGAGGATGGCTATTGGGGAGGCAGATAATGAACTCGATTTTGATACAGGGGAAGCGGGCGATGAGGAGGTGTCCGAAGAACAGGTTGGCTTTCCGGTGGTGGGGATGGTGATTTCCGATCGGAAGGTAAATTTTCAGACGCTTCAGGATGCGATGTCTTCAGCTTGGCGTCCTGGTAGGGGGTATCCATCAAGGAAATCGATGAAAAAGGTATCTTTTTACTTTTAATCATGTTTTAGATATGAACCGGGCGATGGAAGATGGACCTTGGGTGTTTGAGAGAGATTTAGTGTTGTTGAAAACAGTTCAGCTAGATGATATATATCCCTGAAAAGGTGATTTTATTTGAGGCAGACTTTTGGGTTCAGGTGCATAATGTTTCTAAAAAATTTAGAAATTTGAATTCTGCTAAGCGAATTGGGAATTTTATTGGCTCTTTTATAAAGTTTGATGAAAACAGTTATGGAGACAAGGAAATCTTTCTTGAGAATCAGAATCTGTATGGATGTTAGGAAGCCCCTGAAAAAGGGCATTTCTCTGAAAAAGGAAGGAAAATGACATTGGGTTGATTTCAAGTATGAGAAACTACCCAATTTATGTTTCATATGTGGGGTGATTTTAAGTTTTGCTTGTTACGATATGAGGAAGGAATTATTATTGAAAAATATTTTGGAGTTGAGCTTAGGGCAGGAGGAGGAGCAAAGACTAGCCTAGCAGGTCCGAATAAGTGGCTTATACAAGACCTGTAAGCTCTAAGGAAGCTTGAAAACAGAGGAAGAATGAATTCGAGGAGGAGTAGTCGGCTGAGACAGGGACTAGTGCATCAAAGCAAGGAGAGAGTGATGTGGAAGGGGAAACAGGAGAGACTAAGCGCAGGAGAATATGGGAGGACAAGCTTAAGAAGAATACAGAAGACGAAGACATGGCGCTTGATGAGCCAAAAAATGGGGAGGCGGCGGGTCAGGCCTCTTAGACCCGCCGATTTTACAGTGGATGTCTTTGATTAAGGTTTCGAGGAGTTTATTTCATTTTATGTCTTAGGTTTTATTTCCACGGATTTTCTGTTTTGTTTTGTTTTTATTCTTTTGTTCACTCTGAAACTCTTGCATTAGGTTTGGAGGTTGAAAGGTCTGCGGTAAGCGTCGTTAGCTTTAATTTGCCCAAATTCGATCTAGCGAGTTATATTGCTTTGTTTAGGGTGATTAACTCAGAGTCTCGGCCATGGGCGGATGCTTACATGCGGTCCTTTCACATTCTTATGCTCTTGCTATTTGCTATTTTAATGATATAAGCGCATTACGATAAAATAAAAAAAAACTTATTACTTCTATTTTAATATTTCAGAATCAAACTAATTTGGTTTCCACAACAAATTAAAATTAGAGTTCATTGTTATGAAAAATTATGTATTTGCCGTTTACTACATTTTTTAGTATTACTACCTTTCTTAATTGCAACATCGATAATTATGAGAATTATTTTTCAAATATTGTTGAAATTGCCTAATTATAAATTTTCAGAATTTGATTTTTAACCGTGCAACCTCTCATGTCCATCCACCACCCAGTACATAATGCACGGGGATCTACACTGTCATAGTGAATCGATCCTACATACATACCCCGATTAAAAAATGCCAACTATTATTGATTGTGCAGTTTGTGCTGATATTCTTATCAATTCAATTTTGCTCTTCAAAAAGTAAGAAGAATAGACAATGCAATTAGAATCATCATATTGGTACACATTAAATTATTGTACTTTACTTCTATTGAGGGAGTAATTAGGGGGCATTTTAGATCTATCCCACCCCAAATTTGTAAAACGGTTATACTTATGTATTAAAAATTGTGTAAAAGATTATTAATTTTTTTTACCTACTACCATTAATAATTTTATCTAGATATATGACTCCTATTAATTTCATTCTATACTTTTTTTTTTACTATCCTACTATCCCTAAAAGAAAGATATTAAAATTGTGTCTCAAAAATAAAAAATAAAAAATTGGCCATCTAGGCCCCCTGTCTTCAATAATCCAGATTTGAAAAAGCTACCTTTAAATTTAAGGTTTCAGATGTTATCAATTTACTTTGTTTGAATGTATACCGTTTTCAATTATGTACATCGTACAAATGAATTATATGTGTTCATGATTTTAATATTGGGCATTTGCTATCGCGCATTGCGCATATAAAAGCTAGTTAATAAAAATATACCAAAAGAGTCGTAAAATAAAAATGATAAATGTATTTAAATATTTATCTCAACATAATTAAAAAATACTAATGATCACTTTGAGTTCACCCTCCTAACGCAATACATACAAACTGGGTTCAATTTATTCAATTGTACTCCCTTCGTCCTGAAAAGGTTTGTCCAATTTCTTTTTTTGGATGTCCCAAAAAGATTTGTCATTTCCATTTAAAATAAGGAATATGTGGCTAAAGTTAATTCTCTTCATCTGCACAAATTTCAAAGACACAGTTTTTATTTTATTAATCCACGTGAAAGTCAAAGTTGGCGAACCTTTTCGGGACGGAGGGAGTATTTTATAGTATATAGGATGGCTACTACACTTAACTACTCCCTCCGTCCTATTTATATTGTCTCGTTTTACCTTTTCGGGAAATCCCACTTAAATTGTTCCATACCATATTTGGCAAAGTTTGTGTGACTCTAAATTATTCTTACTTTATTCTTACTTTATCAATTAATATCAAGCACACAAACCCACTTTTCTTAATCACCGTGTCACTCTCTTCCGTCCCAATATAAATGGGATGGAAGTAGTAGTTAACTAGAGATATCACCCCTAGTCACTAATGAAGCAAACACACTCGCCTTTTATCATCAAGTATATATGGAAGCTCATCCAGAGGTGCCAAAAGTTGAAAATGGTTACGTCCATACATAGCAGGAGGAGGATTTTCTTTTCTTGGTAGAGGTCTACTAAGGCCTTCCTCCCAACGTAGGTTTTTCCTCTTTGACGAAACATAATTTAGGCAGACCGAATTTGTTCTTCCTTGCGGGGAGGTTTTTTTGCTGTGAGAGATCCGAGAACGATGACGATGCGGGTAATTTAGGAATAAAAGAGGAAAAGCGGAAAAGCCATTCGTAAATGCTGGGATTTGTGGCGTTCATTTTGAACCTAAATTATGGGTATGTTTGGCAAATAGCTGTTATTGTTATTAGCTGGTTGTGTCAGCTGTTTCCTAACAGCTGGTTGCGTTAGCTGTTTTGATCGGTTGGTTATGTTAGCTGATTGTAGATAATTGTTTGGTAAAATTGATTGTTTCGAAATGGCTGATAGAGTGAATAAATTGAACCAGCCGAATGAATAAGCTGCCCCCCTTAGCTTCTTCAACAATCCATTTTTTCAGCTTTTCAAACTCATAAGCTAATTTTAAAAGTCATTTACCAAACATCATTATTAGCTTCCTTGACCAATCAAACAGCTGAAATGGGTCAAACAAGCTAAAAGCCGGCTGATAAGTCATTTGCCAAACATACCCTATACCGTACAACCGGCTCTACGGTGAGCACCATACAACCTGCTTATGAAGTTAAATTCAACTTACAGGCTTATGAAGACCCTCGGATACTCAAGTCGCTCACACCCAAACCTCGCCGGCTTCCGCTCCTCCCTGCTAGATCGACTGGATTATCACGTCGCTCACACCCAGACTTCGCCGGTGTCCGCTCCTCCCTGCTAGATCCTGCGGCGACCATCTCTCTCCAGCCAACTTCGCATCCTGTTCAGTCCTCCATGGCATGACTCATCATCATCTCTGATTCTCCTTGGTCCTTGGAATTCAATTTTTCCGCAAATTGTTCAATCGCATCATGTAGCCTTAATTGAATTAGAATTGAGAATCCATTATGGTGTGTCTGATAGCTGTAGATCTTATTCCTTTTTGTTTTAAAAAGAAATGAGCATATACAACACGTTAGAAATTCCAAATAGTTTTTTTGATTTTTTCGGTATTCATTTTATAAGTCATGTATGATCATTTGATACCGGTTTTATGTTCATCTAAAAATGTTATATGAACGAATATCTCAAAAAGTATCATACTAGATTAGATGCTCAAAAGAGAAGGTTCGATGCTCAATGAATATGTTTTGATGCTCAAGTAAAAACACTTATGGTTTTCATATCAATCTCATTTTGTAAGTTATGTATGTTCAACTAGTACTCATGTTATGCTCATTTTTAAAATGTCACATTAATGCATATTTCAAAAGTATCATATTACATTAGATTCACATATTGAAACTCATAGGAATTGATCATAGATAGTGAATTATAGTATATGAAGTTGATATCACATTACTCATTATTTGACTCTTAATGCTCAGTGGAATACGTCTAATGTTCGTTAGAAGTGTATTAATGCTTAGATAACAAAAACCGCGATTTTCACTAAAATTACAAAAATGTCACCGTTTCTTAGTTGTGATATCAACTTTCTTGTAATAACACAGTACTCATTATTAAACGCTTAATACTCATTAAAATTGGACTATTACTCATTAACAGTATACTAATGCTCATTTAGCAAAAACTGTGATTTTCACTTTAATTACAAGAATGCCATCGAATTATTTTGCTATTTTTCCCTTGGGCCTGTTACTGGACCGGTTGTACGGTGCTCACCGTACAGCCGGCTGTACAATATACGTACTCCATTTTGAAGGACAAAAAGCCAAACGAAACAACAATTTACCAAACATATTCATTATTGGTCAGAAAGCCAAATTGGAGTCAAATTAGTCAAAAATTAGATACATAGGCTCCTAACCAAACACCCCCAAATCATGTGACAGATATAATAATCTATTTACTTATAACAAAACAAAAAAATCATTCAGAAATATATATGTCCTAGCGATAATCACTATTCAGAAGTATATGTACTTGATCACATTCAGTTTTACATATTTGATACATACGGTATTACACATTGATGATTAAGTATTTCGATTGTCAATATCTTATTCATAATTGTGTTCTCTTGGACTTATGTTAAGTAAATGAGAGCTTATATGATATAACATAAGATCCAAAAATAGCCTCAATCAATGATTTTGTTTTAATAACAATTATAATTATATTTTTTAAGCATGCTTATGTTATTAATGTTTAACTTTTGTATCTATTATAAATTAGATTTATGTTGCATGCTTAAATTTATCTGTTTGAGTTAGATCTACATATTACTAGATAATTTATCTACATATGATATTTTCCTATTTAATTTCCACCATTCCAACCTGGTTACCTTACCACAACTTTGCCACCTGTTTGACTAATGTATGATAAGTTCATATTTCAACACACATTTAATGTGTGTTGGGATTGGATTTTGATGGTTTTCCTTGCTTTAAGGCATTGCAAGTCTCAATTTTAGCTCAAGTTGTGATTACCAAGCGTTGGGTCAAGTTTTGTTGCATTTGAAGTCAAATTGAAGAAGTTAGAGTCCGGCAATCGGCGCTTGAGAGGCAATCAAGAGGAGCTAAGAGAGCATTCAAGAGATATTTGAGAGATTTGGAGGTCACTGAGTGATTCACGGCAAAATTTTGATGAAGAAAGAGCATTTGGATCGACCTCGTACTCTCGTAGGCATCCGGAAGCGTTTCGAGCAAGAAAACAAGAGAAAAAAGCGAAAAATACGGACGCACGGTCGTGCGTCTGGGATGCACGATCACGCGTCTGTTATGAAAACGCGACCAAGCTTCTGCCTGCTACACACGATCGTGCGTAGCCAGAGACACACGATCGTGCGTAGCCCCGTGTTAAGCGAAGAAAAGTCCCACATCGGCCAGAATTCAGATTTCCCCCTCTTTTCTATAAATAAGGCCTCCCTAACCCTTTTTAGGGGTTACGAACATTACGCAGAGGCCTAGGGAGGAATTTAACATCATTTTTACGCTATTTTCTTCCAAGACCCTGGGATTATTTGTAAGTTCATCTTTTTAATTAATGACAATTATTTCTATTATTCATCCCAATTTTGTTGATTCTTCAATTATGAATTGAGAGTAGTTTAATTAGCGGTTTGGGATTGATGAAGGGGTTAATCATGATTGATGGCTAGATTCTTGTTGGTTTAATTGCATGAATGTCGTTTAATTTGTGTTTGAGCAATTTAACTGATATCTTTTGTGACCTAGAATGGCCGCTAGAATTACAATTGCTTGTAGAATAAGTTAAGAGAGATCTAATATATTCTAGGACACATTCACACACACTCAATCGTTCGCTAAGAGATTTGTAGCGATTAAGGGGCCGTAAGCTCGCTTGTCTAGGCAATAATTTAGGATCCTGTCTCATGAGAGATCAGTCTGGTCCCCTAAATTATTGTACTTTACGCCGCGAGAGCGGTAAGAACTTAGTAATGATTAGCTAGGCTCAATTAAATTAATTTCATGTAATTAGGCCTGTTCTGCTAGAAATCTGGTTACTCCGGAATCAATCCTTGTTCCCTTCGTCGTTAATTAGAAAGAACCCAAACATTTATTTTATCCGCTCATTCGCATTAGTTTAATTTAATTTTTATTCAATCAATCAATCTCGCACACTTGCATTTTTTTTATTTTATTTTTAATCGCTGAATTAAGTTAATCTTTAATTCCCTTTTGTCCGTCCCCGTGGAGACGATACTCGTACTTACACCATTAGATTACAATCTTTTTAAGTGCGAGAAAACTCACATCAGCGTATCTTATGAAATACAAATAGGAAGCTTTTGAGAAATTCATGAGTATAAGGCTGAAGTAGAGAATCAACTTAACAAGAGTATGGAGACTCTGCGATCTGATCGTGAAGGGCAATACTTGAGTAAGGAGTTTCTTGATTACTTGAAAAGTCAAGGAGTTCAGTCACAATGGACTCCTCCAAGAACACCTCAATTGAATGAGGTTTCTGAAAGGTGAAATAGAACCTTTTGGACATGGTTAGGTCCCTAATGAATTCCAGTCTCTTCCAACATCTCTTTGGGGGTATGCGTTGAAAACCTCAATATACATTCTCAATAGAGTTTCATCTAAGTTAGTGCAAAAGACATCATATGAGTTATCGTGTAATAAGAAGCATATTCTTACACATATTAAAGTGTGAGGTTGCCTTAGCTTACATATGTGAAGAAAATGGACATTGACTTGTAACGCCCCAAAATCTGGTCTAATAGTTAAGATGCATATGAATAAATTAGTTTATCAGATTTAATATCTTCTCTGATTTGTAGAGTAAATAATTCCATTGAAAAGAGCCTTAATAATAAAATAATAAAAGCTTAATAAAAAAAATAATAGTAAATTATACTTAATTAAAAGCTTAATAAAATAAGATAAAGAAGGGCCGTGAAGACCCAAATCCTACACTCAGATAAGTAAATAATGTGAGTTGAGTTATGAGATTACTACAATAATAGAATGGAGACAAATAGGCATGCATGCAATAACTTACTTGACATGTGGAGCATACAAATAAATGAAGTAATAGTGAAGAGTGAATAGTAATACAAGTGATAGTACGAGAAGTTAATGGTCATGTGTATGATTGAGTTACACTACAAGAAATATTGCTTTTAATGACGGTAGAACCCGTGAGCAAAGATCAAAATACAGTCATTAAATATTTTTAATGACGGGAATTTTCCCGTCACGACCCGTCATTATAGCTTCCGTAGTTAAAGGTTTTTAATGAGAGGATGAGAATCCCATCATTAGAAGCATATAGTGAGAGAAAAATTACTCTCATTAAAAAGTTAACTTCATGGTGAAATACATTTTCTGATCCAGCCATTTTCATATTTTTAATTCCAATTATTTTGTCAAACAAAAAACTTATTTGGAATCACTTTTACATTTGCTTCCAACTTCCAAGGTTATTGCAAAGATTATCATGACAAGCTTTTAATGAAATATAAAAAACTAAAAACACACTAATACAAATGAGTATACAAACTTATACTACGTATTTTTAATCAGCCATAAGGAGGAACTATATTGAGTATCTTACAAATACAAATTTATGGATGCAAAATGCAAGGATGCATAACTTTTTACAAATATGAGTTACATATATAAATGAAACAACTCTTCATCTCCTTGCCATTGTTGAATACTTGAATGTTCTGCTCTATATCTTCTATCTTCTACCGGAAGTCTGGGACAAAGTATAGAAAACAATATAAAACAATCACACTATTTTGACCACCAATAGTTCTTCGGGTGTTCCTCTTTTCACACCTAGCTTTCTGTTTTCACACCTATCTTTGAACCTATTATAATTTACAATTAAAATCACAAAGTATTATGCAATGAACTAATTAAAACATGAACAATAACTTTGTAAAATGAATAATACGAGTTAAATTAAGCTTAAAATACACAATACTTGAGAGGGTGAGAAAGGGTGAGATTTTCAATGGGGCATTACCTTCATTTTCATCATTTTGTTGGACAGAAATGCTTCATCCATTGCTGCACTATTATATGTCATTCGATTTGTTCACATTCTTCTCACAAAAAAGCTTGGTAATTAAATGAAACAAACTTCCTTTTTCCGATACTCAATATGAACATTTAACTAGAAAAGCATCTGATAATTATCTTCTAGTCTCATTACAAGTAAAGAGGGTTAAATAAAAATAGAATAGGAGATTGAACCTGGGATAAACGGTTTCTCCAGGGAAGCTAACAAGATCCAGAATGAATACACACATGTTTTAACAGAAAAAACAACTGTAAGATACAAGTTTTATAAGAATTAATGAAACACTATTTTGGATCTGGAATTCTGAAAGAAAGAAAAAACAGAGTCTGGAACATCAAGCCTAACATGGCTTCAACTCAAATGGATTAGAGAGAAGATCGAGTACAAGCGTTTATAACTTAATAAGTATAAAAAATATAAGAGTTCCTCATACC